TTCTCTGTAAAAAACTTCTGTACATAAACTATTTTAACAAAGAATTATGCTAATATTGTCCTTATCAATATATATCAATAATACTATATCAGACATTTTTTCTATTAAACTTCTCATAAATTCTTATTCATAATTATTATACTATTTTTATTTATACAAAGGGTGTTTTTCAAAGGAAAAACAAATAACTAAGTAATTTATGATTAGCATAAAATATGCACATTAAAATCAGTATAGGAATATAGGGAACATTTTATAGTACTTGCCAATGAATTTTTTTTCAGTATTGAATATACTTTGAAAGGAAAAAAAAAAGAAATTTTTAGCTGATTACTCATCTCAGTTTTTAAACAAAACATTGTCTAAAGCAGACTAATCAAAATATGTGATCTAATGTAATGACATTTTCTTTTATAAACAGGTTAAAAACTGGTAAATTAAGCTGTGCTTTGTAGTTGGGTATATTTTATTATATACCCAAATTTGTATTGATAACTTATGGATAAAATCATTATAGCTTGTATAGATGTTCCAATACCTAAAGATCTCTGGTTTTGTGTAGATATTTATATGGAAATATAAATATTTCTTATTTTAACTGTTATATTGATTGGATACATGTGTTTGAATAGACATCCTCGTTCTTTTTAAACAGTGTCAATTTACCTTGATCCATCTGTGCATTTGAGTGGACACAAGGGGGCTACTGGGAGTGAAAAAGAATAAGACATTAGTAGGAACTCAGAAACCCAATTCTAAACAGGAAACAAGGGATAAACCTCTCCTCCTGTCCAAAAGACTGGGAAGTGTGTGAACCAGAAATAAACAAACTTATCTACTCCTATTTAGATTTAAAATATTAATGTCCAATTATAAATAAAATCCATAATTCCTTACATAGAAATAATAGGTTAAATAAATATCTGTAATATACAAAAAAAAAAAAAATTATTTCATCAAATAAATGCATGTAAATTTAACACAGCAATAAATCTGACATATGCAAAGTTTAAAATGGTAAGAATTAGAAAATTATTACTGCAGATCATTTTATTATATACCCAACAAATTATTTGAAAAATGAGAATAAGGAGGAGCAAAAAAGTATCCATAATCTTAATGATTCTTGAATAATTATTACCGAATTTATATGTTTGACATTGTAAGATTTTTCTAGATTGTTCTGTGACGTTATACAAGGTGATTTCATGTATGCTTTTTTAGCAATTCATTATTCTTTGCCTGAATACTGCAAAGTCAACATCTCCACAATACCAAAGAGAAACAGAACACACACTTTGGTAGTTAGGAATAGTATTGTAGAACATAAGACAAGAAAAGGTTGAAAAAAGATCTCTAATTAAACATAAGTTCAGTTCAGTACATAGATTACAAATGGGGAAAAAAAAAAAAGAAAAGACTACCGTAAATCAAGTTATCTGATGATGACTGAAATATTTCTGCTCGAAACTTGTTTGAATGACTAATTACTCAGAACTTGACAGTTGTATCATGTCAGAGAATATGTAAAATTCTGTAGTAAAAGGCTTTATGAAATTACTGACCTACATTGAATACTCTTAATGAAAAGTCATGCATTAAGTTTGCCAACAAACCTATCAATAAAGAATGTGCCTATTTCAACAACATTTTGTGGTCAGATGCAATAAAAGTCAACCTATTTGTCAATGACTGTATTAGTATTGCATGAAGGGAACTTAAAAACACTTATGATATGCCATATGCACTGTGTAATATTGTGTGGTCCTATCAGAATGTAGGAATATTTTTCACTGATGGGGAGAGGGGATATTCACATCATTGAAGGCACTATGTATGAACTCTAAGTATAATGTAATTCTGGAAAAACATATCTTTACTAGAAAACACAGGAAGCAAAGTTGAGTGTTTCAACAGGAGAATGATTGTAAACATACAACACAGGAGACCGAAACTTGGTTGAAGAAGAAACATCTCAATTTTGTTGAGTGACCCAGGCAATCACCAGCTCTGACCCCAATTAAAAATTATGAAAAGAGCTGAAGAATCAAGTTGGGAAGCATTAACCATCTATTTTAGCCAAGTTGAAGAAATCTATGTATAATGGTTAAAAATGCCAGTGGAACACTAAAGCATTTGACAAGAAACATTTGGAAGCAGTCGTAAATTAAAGATTATGCAAGCAACTATTCATTAGTAATTTCTTTGATGTTATGGATAATTTTTCTGCATGTGGTTAATTCTCAAACAATTTGTTATATATACAATTGATTTATGGTGATAATTTTTTTTAATTCCTAGCATTTGAAATTAGATATGTATACTGCAAGAGATATACATGAAATACATCTTTGCATATATATATATATATATATATATATATATATATATATATGTAGGTACTTCCAAAGAAAAGCAATGCCTAAGGCTTAAAATGTATTTTTAAAAATGTAAGCTTTAATTTCAAGTTAATAGATTAAATTTAATATTCCAATAAGCAAAATATTTACTGTATTTCAAAACAAATTTAAATTGATTGCGTTAAGAAAAAGGCTGATGTTAGTCATATTTACAAATCTCTCAGCACAATGTAATTCTCTTGATTAAAAAAAAAATCTTTCAAAAATAAAATTATTTTTCTGAAACTTTATTTGAGGAAGATTAGCCGATTTAAAGTTTAATTAATCTGATTTAAAACAAATATTACTTTTAGTTTAAAATATTGCAGAAAAGTATTTTTTTTAACAGAGGTGGGTGTTTTCATGAGGTGTTGACATCTCTATAAACTAGTTTGTAAATTTTTTTCTACAGGAGACTTATCTGTAAAAATTGATTTAACGTGAAAGCCATTTTTATAAAATTTTTTAATTGCCCAGTAACCTTAAAAATTTAGGAAAATATTCAAAGTAAGCTAATATCTTAATGAATTTTGGTACTTTGGCTTTAAACTTACTATAGTTGCCACATTTATACACACACAAAAAAATGTTCAAAATTCTTTTTAAAATACTGAGGTTTATAATAAGCTTTTCTATTATTAGTAAATATAGGTTTTACTTAATAACAATACCACCTAACCACTACAAATTAAGACAGAATTTTAAGATTTAAAACTTCATAAATTATTCTAATTAAAAATTAAAACAAAAAATGAATTTTTCTTGTAAAAATTCATTATTCATCAAAAAAAATTTTTTTAAGACAATAGTATCCATAATGTATCTTATTCATAAAAGCAATTAAAAGCTTTTATCATTAAACAAGTATTGCATTTTTATTTTCTGATTCACAAAAGATTTTCTGTAAATGGGGGTCCTGTTTTACAAAAAAAAAAAAAAAAAAAAAAAAAAAAAAAAAAATGATTTAAATTCTCCACGGACATCTGCTTATAGCTAATATAAACATTAAGCTCTACAAAAAATCTCTCAGAATTTCTGAAAGTTAAATAAGGGTAAGAGAAAAAAAATTTTTTTACCAAGATTTTCTAAAAAATAAACATTTCTAAACTAATTTTATTCATTTGTGAATAAGTCCTGAAAGTTTCATTAAAATCCACCAATTATTTCATTACTTCAGTGTTTTTCACCACAAAAAGATACTAAAATTTTTTATACTAATTTATGGTCACCCGCTGATGCAAGAAAAAATTTTTAAGGTTTTGAAAAGGAATGAAAAATATCATCAAAAAATTTTTTGGTCTTTCTTCTTAATAATAACAAAGGTTTTGACAATAAAACTGTTTTAAGTTTGGGGCATTTTTTCATCATGTATGCTCATTTTATAGCAAATCTTTGGATGTGTGTGTGTGTGTGTGTATCCAAAACAAAACAAACAAAGTAAACATAAAAATTGAAATGACCTTGCATAAAATAAATTAATACACTTTGTTACAACCAATTGAAAAATGGATTATCATTTTTTTTTTTAATTAAAAAAAAAAAAAAAAAAATAATAATATTAAGAACCAATATTTGATTTAGTTGTTAATTACTAAAAGATCAGCAGATGAAGTTGAAGATTCATTGATTTCTTTATTATCTTTTTTTTTTTTTTTTACTCAAAGAACTCCTGTTTAGCTTTTTGTGACAAAATAATTGTACACTAGAAAAAAAAAAATTAAATTTACAAATGTTTTACAGAAACAAGAGCATGCACAATTAAGAAACTGTATATTTGCTAATGATTTTATGTATGTATAAAACCATGTTTCAACCCCAGCTGTAATTACAAAGAATAAAAAGAAAAACTATAATTCATTTTAATTTTGGTCCTCATATTTCAAATGTCACCAGAAATAAAATTGAAAATAGGGATTGATTTTCTTTCATACTGTTAAACAGGTTAAGTTATTCTGAGTGAAAGGAAATCAAATAAAATTAACAGAGAGAGGTTTTTATTATTACAAAGTTTGTTTTCAAATAAAATATTGAAACAAAGTTGTAGTCAGAATATTAGAAAATTAAATCAGTTCTAAAACTTAATTCTCTTTCTCTCTTGATAGGCATATGCAAGAATGATATCCTGCAACTATTATAAATCATGATAGAATAATTCACCATAACTTGGAGGAAAAAAAAAAAAAAAAAAAAAGAAAAGAAAAAGAAAAGAAAAAAAAAAATCACAGCCTGGAAATGAACCTTCTATTGTAAGACATTTCTCTATTTAAAAAAAAAAAAAAAAAAAAAAGTGTAAAAAGAAAAAATTTTAAACAAGCGGAATAATTTTTTTTTCCGTTATAAATCAAAAAAGGATATATTATTCCTTTTTCAGCTTTATGATTAATAATAAACATTTAAAGTAAAATAAAATATATTGACCAACTCAGTTTTAGAAATATTAACAGATTTACATTTTTCAATTATGTAACTCTGAACAAACTGAAGAACTTCTAAAAATGAAAATAATCTGGTATAAAAGGGGGGGGTGAAATAAAAATAAAATGTCCATTTGTTTCTTAATCAAAAAAGAAATTTTACAAGGATACAACCACCACCAAAAGATCATCTCAGCAATGGAGATCTTTCATTTAGATAATCTGACGTACAATCATCCAAATGACTCACTGAAACACGTCCGGCAATGTCAATTTCAACCTTACGAAAGTCTTTGATGTATGTCATAAAAAAGGAAAGGAAGGATATTGCCAATAACCATTCAGATGCAGTGCTTACAATGTGTGCTGCAAAACCCTGAAAAATATGGAGAGTTGGTTTTTTAAAATTTTATAGACTAAAAATCTGTTAAAGTTATGTAAGATAGATCAATTTTTTTTTTGTTAAGAAAATGTGTCACTTGTCTTATAAACTCAAATAGAAGTATATATAAGAAAAAAAAAAAAAGATGTTAATTAAAATATTTTAAAACCAAAGATTTTATTCAGTTAAAAAAAAAAAAAAAAAAAAAAAAAAAAAAAAAATTAAATGTTATGTATGATTAATAAATTTTGGTCATATCTAAAATTCCAAAAAGAGAAATTTGTAGAACCATTTTAGTGTTCATAAATTTAACTGGAAAAAGAATTATCCTGATCAGTTTACATTTTAAAAATCACACTTCAGTGGCACGGTGGCATAATGGATAGCAGCTCGGATTTAGGAATCGGAGAGCCAAGTTCAAATTCCAGTCAAATCTATTACATTCACTTACACGCTAATACACTTAGGAAAGGTATAAATCCTCTTCTCCTCCCAGCTACAGGTAAACAGCAGGACAGACTGGGTTCTATAGCCTTGAATGGCAACTGGTCTACCACAGAAAGAAATGGCAACCTACTGCAGGAAAAAATCTGCCTCGTCATATATCGAAAGGTACATGATCGCCTAAGCATGTATCACGCTTGGCACATAACTGACTGACATTGAAATTATTAATTTTAACAAGACTATTCTACAATATCACTTATTAATTAATGTTTCCTCTACCATTGCCAGATTTCTGCCAATAAATATTAATGGAATGAAAAAGGGATCAAAGATATTGTCCCATGACAACAGCATAATTCAACAAAAGATGCTAATTTAACATACATGGGTGCAGTTTTCATCAAGTTTCTCTGTGGCTACTCGTGGCTCTATGTTAAATATGGGTAAGTTCTGTCCCTTCTCACTTCACTTAATTTGAGGTGTTATCTGCTGATAAAGCAAAATGCTTTGCTTGTAAATTCTCTTACAATTCTATTCTTCACTCATCTGCAGTATCTTTGCTTGACTTTCCACTTAGAACTGAGTCTCTATTGTGTGATCTAAACTGGATCTCTAAAAAACAAAAACTGAAATAGTCCTAAAGATAATGTTGGCAGTGGGCAATTTTTTCTGCTTCCGTTTTTTTTTTTTTTTTTTTGCGCTTGATTTACTGGACTTTTCCTTTTTTGATGAAATCTATTCAAGAATAATTATCAGATCATTCAGTTTCAGTCACTTAATATTTTAAATTAAGTAACTCGTATCATCTACTTCTTTTAAAGGGATTACTTAACATATATTCAATTTCATGATTAATTACATAAACTAACTTTTCTGGTAATCTGTGCATAAAAGAATGTTGCTCTTTACACAACAAAGACTAAAAACAAATGAAAAAGTAAAATGAAATGTTGATAGGTTGCATTATACTCACTTTCATTTCTGGTTGCCAATGCAATGGATCATTTTTGTAGTTTTTTCCTGCAGCTGCTGCAGCTGCAAATGCTACAATCAAGAATTAAAGAAAATTCTCTTTTCAAAACATACAAATATTCAACAATCAACAAATGAAATTTTTAAATATTTCCCCCACCTTTAAAATATGGTTGCCTGATAATAAAAGGATACTTGTAATAAAGCAGATGGATGAGAAACATGAAATGGCTGCACGGATGCGACATATTGAAAGACCATTGTATTCTGGGTACATTTTGTAAGAGATTATAGACTGCAAGATTGCATATAACGCACCAACTCCAAATACCATTAAGGCTCCAATTAAGTGAACAATAAGGACATTAGATTCCTGAAAGATAAAAGAAAATGAAATGTTAAGCATATTTGCCAAACCTTCAATTATTCATTCAAAAATAGTTTCCATTCTCTTCATGTGTGGATTATATGCATCTCATCTTTAATTCCTATCTGATGAGGTATTTTTAAGTTGTGACAAGTATTATCCACACACACATTAAAAAAAAATATTGCTTACTACACTTGTATTTTTTGCATTTACTTAGCATTGATGTTGATGTTTCCAATATTCCTATAGAACTTTCTCCATATAAAATACGATAAAAGGATGCAGTTTTCACTTCTTAAAATATCAAGTTTTTATAATACATACAGACATGCAAAAAGTTATCCGATAGCTATATGTAAAAGTAATGATAGGTAGTGCTACCATACTTTGATGCCATGGAAATGCTCAGACCTATATCAGTTGAGCTCTAACATCTGGTGTGTCAGTGTGAACACTGGATAGGCTGCTCATGGCAAAATAACATGAATTATTAGAGTTAAAAATGGAGTATGATAGTGGATGCCAGACTGACTGAGTGTTCCATTTATGAAATTGTGGGCACATTTGACATCTACAGTACCATATGTACCAGGAATACCTAATAAAAGGCATTATCACTTATAATTGACAGTATAGTGGCTGACCCCAGGTCCTTAATGATCATGACCATAGGTGTCTGGCCAGAATTATCTATGGTATTAGACAAGCAAGAGTGGCTCAAATCCAATCCAAGATGAGCCAGAAGTATGTTCAGCAAGTCCATTCAGTGTTCTTTAGCTTTTATGGGAGCAGAAGACCCACCAGAGTATTCCTGCTAATATCACAATACCAGACACGGCCCCTCACCTGGAGCCATTACTAATTGGACCCTGGAGGACTGGTAAACATCCAATGATTCATGGTTCTGGTTGTTTCAGGCTGATGGTAGGGATCAAGTGTGGTATAGATCCTACGAGACCATAGACCCCAGTTGCCAATAAGGCATAATGGTGCTATATGCTCACATAGCATAGGTTGGATTTGCTGTTTCACCTTTAGTGACTGCTATGTTGCACTAATTTGTGAACATTTTCACACATTCGTAAATTCCATGTAGCCTAATAATAATGGTTAGTCCAGCAGGATAACACACCCAAGTTACCCAGAACTGGTTTAAGAAGCCTTCTGGAGAATTTTGACATGTGTTCTGATCACCATATTCAGCGAGCGAGCGAGCGAGTGAGAGAGAGAGATCTATTCACATACAATAGCTTGCACCTACAAATATCAGAGTTGCTGCTAGTTAGTTATTAAGATGGCACAGCTCAACATCTCTCCAAGGGTTTTGTGGAATCAATGCACTGCCAAATTACTGTACTTTCCCAAGCTAGAATGGGTTCTATATGATACTCCACACATATCATGACTTGATATGTAAATTTATTAAAGAATACTCATTTCATGCCAAATTATTTATTGAAATGATAGGATTCAATATTACTGTCTCATCTAATTTCTGTCTTTGACTTCAGTGTTTACTGAAGTGTACAATGTATTCTCAGCTCAAATCTGTAACATTAATATTTTCTATGGAAAAGTTTTTTTTGCAGGAAACAAATCTAATAGTATGAACCTAAATTCATAAACAACTATTTAAAACAAATTTTCTGTAGATTTTAAGTATGATTGACTTCATGAAAATGTCTTCTTCATTAAATAAAAAATTATGAAATCAATTACAAAAATGTGCTTTTCATAAAGCAAGTTAGTTTTACAAACCATTGCTGTCTAGCCCAGTTCTGATTGAGTGGTCTATTATGTCTGTTCAGCTGAGTAAATACCTACAAGCCACTCTCTCTAGCTATCATTTAAAGTAAAGCTAGAAGTGACTACTTTCTATAATACTGTTCAGCATTTATCATGTAAATTCACAGCACACATTTGTTTCCCTAAACAATATATGCAGTGATGGTCCTCAAATTTGGGATAGTAAAATGGTTGTCAGTAACACCTGTATCCAAGAAAAAAAGGGGGGAGGGGAAGAGGGAAGTGGAAAAGGGGGAAAGGGAAAAATGATGAAGGGGAAGGAAAAAAGGGAAGGGGAGAAAGGGGAAAGGAAAAGAGTAAAAAGGGATAAAAGAAGGGGGGAAAAAAATCACTACAATTTCACATACATTGTCTACAATGTCAAAATATAACAATTTAAATTGTATTATAAAATTTGTGAAGAAATAAAATGGAGATTTTTAAATAGTTTAAAAACACATACACCAAATAATATTTTACCTGAAAATTTCCTACAACACTCATCCCAAAGGCAGCTATAATTCCGAAACCCAAACTGATTTTGTTGAGAAGATGTAGTCGAGTGCTGTCTATATTAACCATTGATGCTACAAGTTTGTAACGGACATACATTGTTGCAAAGGCTAGAATGAAAAAATATAGACAACACTTAAACAAGACGTATATTGAAAAGTTAACCAATTTTTTTTGGGGGGGTGCTTTTCTAAAAAGAGAAAGTGTTTTACTTTTTCAATTATGTTAATTTGAACAAAAGTAAAATAAAGAATAAAAAAATGGAAAGTTTAGTGAATATTTTTGCATATAAACACACAAGTTCTACATCAGAATATATTATCATTTAATAAAGTCAGTGAATAAAAAAAAATCTTTAACAAGTTTTTGTAGACATTAGTATGTAAAGTGAAAACCAAAATAAATGTTATAGCCGTACCTGTTTTTCACATCATCATCCTAAGACAAATGTAAAAATATTTAGATATTTTTTCTTAATATTAATTCAAATTTAGTGTGTATGTTAGGGTTGCTAATTATTTTGTGATTATTCCTTTGTTTTTCTTTTCATATGATAAGAGAAATCATTAAAAAAAAAAAAAAAAAAAAAAAAAAATTTTATATATATATATATATATATATATATAAATAAAAAAGAAAGAACAGTAAGATATAAAATCCAGTGTTCTTATAGATATTTTTATTTTTACAAAATAGTGCTCAATGTAAATTTACAGAGCATTAATATTATAAATTAATTGATTTAAAATATGGTTTTTTTTCGCTACACAGTTCCAACCATGTTTCAAAAATAGAAGCTAAAACCCCAATTTAATTTTGCAATTAAATTAAAAGCATTAGTTCCATTTCATCTTCAAGCAAATTTTGGAGTAACTTTTAAAAATTACCGGGTTTTAAAGACACAGCTAAAATCACGTTTCCATGGTTACAGAATATTCTACTTAAATTGAACAAGGGATGTCTAGATTTTCCTTATGTCAGTATCATTGTATCAGTTATTAGCTACAATTTGGTAAGGGGTAGGGATGTATTTTACAATGAAACCTGACACCAGTGAATGGATGTCGTCTGGATTTTTTTTTTTTAAATTGTTAACGGTAAAAAAATTTCAACGTCATTTTTTAAATTTAAAAGATTTTTGGGTTTTTTTTTTTTTTTTCCCTAATACTTTTTATTTAACTACGATTTGAAATATTCTCCTTTTTAATTTTTATTTTACTATATTCTTTTTAAGAACAGTTAAATGTATTAGAATCCATTATATTATGTAGGATTATTTTAACATCAAGGTTAAGTATATATATATATATATATATATATATATATATATATATATATATACACACACACACACACACACATATAGGGTGACCCCAAAAAAACGGGAACTTTTTAACAATCCAATAAAACCAAGAGTGATGGAAGAAAAATATTTTATTCTTAGTAATTGAAACCTTAAAACATGCCATTTAAGAAACAATGATGGAATTTTCATTTTTAAAAAATTACGTCCTGTAGATGGAGTCCTCCTGTACGAATGCATTCTTGAAATCTGCTGTTGAGATTCCTCATTGACTGCTGCAACATCTCAGCTGGGATACTGTGAATTTCATCTTGAATTCTAAATGGCGAAATGTTTACTTGCTCACGGTCACTGTCTCGCAGTGTTGCCACTTGCTCATGTTTGGCAATACACACTTCAAAAATTCCCGTTTTTTGGGGTCACCCTGTATTTGAAGCATGTCCATTTCAAAGTTGTCATATCTTACAATACTGATATACCTACACAAGTGAACTCACCCTTTTTATTATTTATTTTGTTCCAAAAACATTTCAGTCAATCCATCCTACAGACTTTTTCAGTTGTACTAGCCCCATGTAAGGAGTTGGTCTGTTTTTACAGTTCAAAACATTCACAGCCACACTTGTAAAATATGCTAACCCATTTTCTGTAATATAGCTTACGCTATAATTTATATAAGATGTTCTTAATTCCTTTGTTAAACAAAAAATTCAAGACTGTATGGAAATTTACACAGTCTGACTTAGGCAATTCACCAACAACTCGAGTTACGTTGATACTTTTAACTCTCTCATTCAGCATTAGGTATTAATTATTCAGACTTCATATCAATGAGAATAATGTACGTCATTCTCCTTCTAGGTATTATCCATCATACCTGAGATTTTCTATTCTCCTTTGGATATAACCTTTCTCTGCCCTTCAGGTCCGACTTTACAGGTATGGTCAAGGGCTCAATTGTATTGATAAATCTTGAAATAATGACTCCTCAAAATTATAGATAAGACAATAAATTGCACTATTATGTAATTCAATGAATAATATTCTGTTTATTTAATATTAAAGTAAATTCAAAATATTTTAATTGTACCAAAATAAACAAACCCAATCATTTGTGAATAAAAGGTCTATGATTTAAACTTGTTAATTCCCAAATATTAGATAACTAATGACTGACAAGTTTGTATAATTAATTAGGAGCAAATATTAGAGTAGGGAAAATAGAGCCGTTTTGAAAATGCTTTTAGTAAAGCATTTTTAATGGTTTTGTAGATATAAAGCATAACAAATTTTCTTTCTCTATACACTTCAGTTAAATTTTGTTGATGTTTAAAATCTGCAATATTTTAAGTGACATATTTTAAAATATTCCTTTCCATTTCTATTTGTTTTGTTTTTTCTAAGTGAAGCTGCTTTCAAAAAATAACTTTCAAATAGTATATGGAAAAAATTATTTTCAACCTAAAATTTTCTAGATTTGTTTTTTTCTTTCATAATCAGTCATTCAAGGATTCTATAAATTTAACAACTGTCACCATAATGACAAAAAAAAAAAAAAAAAAAAAAAAAAAAAAACTTTTCAAAAAGATTTCAAGTTGCTTATACTAACAGCACAAGCTTATTTTTATTTAAAAAACAACACAAAAAAAAAAAAAAAAAAAAAGTTTTTTTTTTCCCCCCAGGTAATGTTCAGCTATACTGGTAAATCTTTATTTATAAACTTATACTTGTGCCTAACAATTTTTAATGTTGTATTGGAAAATGTTTCAAAACTGACTTATCAGGTTTTTCTTCACCATACACATCACCAATACAAAATTTTACAGAAACATTTTTAAAATTACACAGCTTGAACTTTTTTAAAACAGCTGAAGAGGGTGCTGAAGTGTCACAAGCCTGACCAAGAAACCCTTTAAAATAAACAAATAAAAATAGATTAAAAGAATAAAAAAAATTTGATGTCTGATCATTTTGTCAGATTGGAAAATGGGTTGAGCAGAGAATGTTTTGATACATTGTTGTAGCAATAGAAATTCTTATAAATTTTCCAATATAAGAATTAGCTAATAACAAGTACTACAGCTATTAAAAATAAGACTGATTCTATCATTTCTTTCTATTTATGAACTTGTAAACCAAATATAATGTAAAATTGGACAAGGGTGAGAAATATTTGGACAGAAGCAAAAAGAAACAAAGGATAGATATAAAGCAAAAAAGATGTTAAGTTCAAATGATAGGGGTGGGGGATAACATTTTCTAGACTACAAACAATTTTATTGACTGATCAGCCACCTTCAAATTGTAGAATTCAGTGATCCAATCAGTGTAAGCTCTTGACTTCATTAATATATATTTCCTTTGCACTGTTGTAATATCTTTTACATCAAAGATATAGACAAGAGGCTGAATCTAACAAATATGATTTTATGTTAGCTCAATTCAAATTTGGTACATAAAAAAAAAAGAAAAAGAAAAAAAGGAGTATCATCAGTGGTAGTACCTTTGCAGCAAAGCAGTTGACCCTGTTTTATTCAAGTAAATTGGGATGAGGAACTGTACTGGTCCACAACCTACATCCAACTCACACATGGTTCCAAGAAGTTGCATGGGCACCGTGACAGTCACACCCTGATCAATGGCATTGACCTGCCAGCTAAACTGTGTGAGGGTAGTTGCAAGGGTCTCCCAACCTGACCAGTGAAGGTTTGGTTTGGTTTGTTTTACGGCATATCAGCCTCAATGGGTCATTTAATGTCGACAACTTTTTTTCTTTTTCTTTTTTTTCCTTGGTAATATTTTTGTTTTGTCAAAAATCTATTTCTGGTAATATTTTTATTTTTCAAAAACGTACTGCTGATAATATTTTTTCTTAAAAAATTTATTTCTGATAGTATTTTTTTTCTTCACAAAGTATTTCTGGTATTAAAACCTATTTTTGCACTTTCATAATGTTTTTTTACCTCAGTTTCGGGGGTCAACTATTTGCCTATAGTTGGGACCCTAACAGGTGCTACCACCCCAGGTCAGGGTGGACCTGGGAACACCAGCAATTAAGATGTGGTTCCATGCTTCTCAAAGGCCCCTGATCAGAGGCCTTGCTGTTGGACGTAGTTTATCATCTTACCCTGAACGCAGATGTAGTTTATCGTCATACCCAGGACACTGACCAGTGAAGGGGAATACCTCTTCCTGTGCCAAGCAGCCATTGGCCAGTCATCAGTTTAAATGTAGGAGCTGCATCTCAGGTCAGCAGCTTTACCAGTGGGTAGTGGAATTTCTGAGAGGAGGGACAAAGTAACCTCAACATCCACAGTGCAAAAGGAACTGGCACTATTTTGTCTTGAATGCCACCATGAACCACAATTAGAACAGAAATACGAGGAGTACTGACCACAGCGACACAAAATGCACTAACTGAATAAATGAATGATAGATGATTTTTTTTTTTTTTTTTTTTTAAACAAATTTACTTAAGATCTAAAATACATCTTGGAAAGAAACCAGATCAAGGAACGATTTCAATTGTGACAAGACAAAAAAAAAAAAAAAAAAATCTAATTTGTATTAATTTCATCATTTTTTTTTTTTTTTTTAAACTGAAAAGTATTTAACTTACCAAGCATTGTTGATATATTCAATAACTGGCCAAATATACAACTTTCTGGACTTTTTGAACCAGTGTCACTGGAACAAAAAATATAAGAAATCAGAATAGAAAAATCCAAGGAAAGAAAGACTAATAATAGTGAGTCTTTGATTTTTCATAAAGATTTCTCATTTAAAAAGGAACTGAGAAAATGAAAAAAGGTTGCTTAAAGTGCGTATCTCATTAATATCATGAACATGACTTTACTGAAACAAAAAACTGATACAAATATCATTCGAAATCGCACCAAATTTGGAGTGATACTCCTGAAATTCTTTAATAGTAATTTAGAATTGGAGATATCTTGCTATTTGAATTTTGAGCTTGCATTTATTGGAAAAAAATTTAGTTTAAAAATATATTATATTGCATATCTGTATATTTTTTAAAAGTATAAGTAAATTAGGTAAAGTAACTTAAGATTACAGTAAAACCATGTAGCTACAAAACAGTTGCATAAAACCATGAAATATGCATGCAAATAATAAAAAAGGATGCATAGAATTGATTGAAAATACACACAAGAGAAAAAGAAAAGAAAGATAAGCCCCCACAAAATAACATTTTCATCTATTTACACATACACACTTGATAAACTAATGAAGGTAGGTATACTGACATGTAAAACTTCAGGGCCACGTTTGGTAAATTACTTTTGTTAATTTTACCTGAAAATCAGGATTGATTGGCAGTATTCTTTTCTCAGTTCACTTTATGATCTTTGATGGCCAGAAAACAAGTAACTGCATTTTTGTTAATGTTGTATGGGGGTTAATGCATCTTAAGCATTCAGTGTTGCTGAAAAAAAGGGTAATGCAAAAATACTGGACCACCAGCAAAATTTCACCTTTCAGATCTTAAGTTAATTTTTTTTGTGTGTGCAAAAAATTATCTTTATTATTATGAAAAAGGAAAAACTGTCAAAGTATGGAGTTAGGAATTAAGTGTTGTTGTCTTTGGCTCAAATAAGTGGCTCAAATAAGTGCCTCAATTTGATGTGGCATTAAATGGAACAAGGTCCAGATTTTCTTAATAGGAATTTATTCCCATTGATCTTGGCAGTATTCTCAAAGCTCTTGGAGATTGCATGGTTTTTGTTGGTGCATTTGTTTCTTCAGTACTCACTAAAATGCTTCAATTATATCGAGATCAGGACTGTGTTGGCCAGTCTTCTAAAAGGTGAACATCTTCATCCACAAGAATCCTTTTTTGTTGCACCTTAAACTAATAATTTTCGCAGTTTAGGTATCCATCAACTTTTACCAATAAAACTTGATGCAACCCATTATGTGTCCACCATCAAATTTTACCATCTTTGTGGTACATCATCTTGCATTGTTTCTTTCTCCTACTTGTCTACTTATATATTCTCTTGCATGAGAATGTAACTATTTTGCATTGATCACTAAATATTACTTTCTTTCCACTTTCCAGCATCTCATGTTAGCCATTCTTTTCACCATTTCAGTCTTCTATTCCAATGTTTTTTGGTTAATGTTATTTTTTTTTTGCTATTATACATCTATTCAAGTTGTTTTTTTTTTTATACTCAGCATACTGTATCAACTGAAACTTAATTTTTAAGACTGCATTCACTCCTCACTTGTCTGGCTGTTAATTTTGGATTGCCTACAGATTCTCTCACACTACTTCTTTCATCACTCTTGTCTAACTTTTAGTCTTCCAGTTTTCTTTGCACTTAAAAAAACTTCCAGTAATAGCAAACATCTTTTAGATGGTTTGAACACTGTTTCCGGAAATTCCCAGCTGCATGCTTATCTCTTGAGTTATCTTCACCTTCAAACTCATAACCTTCATCTTGTTTTAGCCATGATTTTAGTGTCAAAATGCAACCTAATGTTCAACTATCATTTGCCGAGTACTGATTTTTAGAAAATTACATATGACTATCATACCAGATCTTTCATTGGTCCAATAGTTTCGCATGGCCCCTCTTTCAGCTTCAAACTGCATAAAGCTGTGTCATGGCTGTTTAAAAGCCTTGTTTTTGTCATATATGAAAATCCAACATGGCACAAACGAAATATTCAGTAAAAAATCTCATTTGTCAGTAACATTTTAAACACCTCATAGAATGTAAATTTCTCAAAGCAAACCTATGCCAAACTGTTTTCCTGAATCCTTGATGACTTGGCTGTCTGAAAATGACAACATCAAGATGAAATAATGGAAACTAACCAAGAAAAACAATTATGCACAAGTTTTCGATCAATCAGTAAACTTCTGGACCTTTTCAGGCGACATTATAGGATCCAGACAGCTATTGTTTGCACATGGAATTATTCACTGGTAATTAATCTTCGATTTGGCTGTGGAAAATGTCACTCGGCAGTTAGCATTAAAAAATTATGGCCAATTTTCTGAGAAAAATCACCGTTTTCTTATGAAAAAATTATTTATTTTCGCTTCAAAATAATATCATTTAAACATCATTTTCTCTTTCATTTGCCATGAACATCATTGAATAAAAGGAATGGCTAAATGGCCCAGCGATGGGAAATACAAAAGATATGCGGCAAAAAAAAAAAAAAAAAAAAAAAAAAAAAGTCATCTGCTAAGTGTTGTTGTCATCACCCAGGGCACAGGGTGTTAAAAACAAAACAAAACACACCAAGCCATTGTTCAAACATAGGTTATATCAAGCCCTACCAATGTTGACCATTTTTTTTTCAAACTTTGCTCTTATCTGGGAGGGGTGGATTTTATTACAACTAAACGGTTATTATTTGATTTCCTTCAAAACTCTCAATGTTATGTCTAAATTAGTTTAATTATGATTTAGGCTAATTTAAAAAAAAAAAAAAAAAAAAAAAAAAAAATTTTTGTTTAGGACTAGAAAAAAATGAAAAATTTTCACTATTTTTTCACATTTTACCCCCTGAAAAATAATTTTGAGTCATTTACACCAGTAAATTTTACTTTTAAATGAAAGAATATATCCTTTGCTTTCAGAAAATATCTAGTTTCACGGTTTTCAGATCAAAAGTTTCCTTGATATTTGCTTAAATGATAAAACAGTCATATTTCAATATTTTACCCCTATAAAAGTATGAAAATCCATTTTTTCAGAGAAAATAAGCTGTGACAAAAGGACTTTTGCCATTTTTGTGATGATTTTCACTTGGGATAGAAAATTTTTTACCATAGCAAACATAAATTGACTTTATTTAAATTCAGTGAGACTATAGGAAACCTCAAACAGCTGTGGTATATCTTGTTAGATGGCACCTACAAAAATGCAACATTTTCTTCCAGGTCCACAGACACTACTGATAAAAACATACTGCTAAACAATCTTAATAAATTAAAGATGTATAATCAGTTCATGTACTTGGCACAAAACTTTTGTGCTTCAGTGTATATAATAATATTCTATATGACCGATTTTTAAAAAAATTTGATGCTATATATTCCAATATTTTATTTTTATAATTTGTATTAATTTTTTTTTTAACACAAATGACAAAGTCACAAAGACAAAACAGTCAAGCTAATAAAAAATATTATGTTATTCTTCAGATATTTAAAAGTAATTCACATAATTTAATACCAATTTTAATCATTTTAATCCAAAAAAAAAAAAAAAAAAAAAAGCATTTTTTTCAGTTGAGAAATATGAATCTAGAAACAAATTTGTTAGTTAAACAACTAAAGAATTTTCCTATAATAAAACTAACACCAGTTCTCATAAGATCACCAAAGTTAAGCAACATCAAGACTGGTTAGTATCTAGATGGGTTACTGTTTGTGAATACCAGGATGTGCAGGTGGTGTAATGGATAATGGCCTAGAATTGGAGAGCAGAGTTCCAATTCCAGTTGGGTTTGTTACATTTATTTACATGCAAATACCCTTGGGAAAGGTATGAATTCATTTCTCCCACCAGCTATGGGTTAATTAGTAGAACTTGTTTCAGTGAATTTTTTTTTTTTTTTTTCCAAAAGATTTTTACAATATAAAAATATTTTCTGGTTTTAAATAACATGCAAAAGGTTGATAGGCTGTAAAAAAAAAAAAAAAAAAAAAAAAAAAAAAAAAAAAAACAAATCCTCAATCCAACCCATAATAAATTGATTTGAACCATGATAGCCATAATATTACAAACAAATTATATGGAGTTACTAAAGAGAATTAACTGAAACAGCAATATCCAAAAAAGGATTGGCAGGTGGAATTAGAAAAATCTACCCCCGTGGACTAAAGTGTTTCGTTAAAAATTCCAATGTATATCACCTGAAGAAGGTCGGGGTGTATAACAGTCGAAACATTGTGAATATGGCAATAAAGATGAGAACAACAATCCAAATGATGTAAATAGTGTAAATTATATTTAGTAAAAACTTCATTATGCATCTATATATTTGACATAATTGTCAAAAGATTAGAAAACTATTTCCTAAATTCTTAAAATATTAGGTTGTCCCAAAAGTTCGTAAACACTTGCGAAAAATTGAATTTTTATGCAATTTTTAATTGTTTTTTTACTTTATTGTTAATTTTGAAAAAATTTTATTTCATTAAAATTTTTATTTAATTGTTTTTTTGCGTTTATATTGTTATAGTGATCTTCATCTTTGTATTCCAGATGGCAATTGATAAAATTGAGCTGCAAGTTTTGATTCGTTACTGATGGAAGCGAGGTCTTTCAACCAGAAAAGCTGCAGAAGAGATTTGTGCTGCCGAAGGTGAAGGAACAATTGCATATGCAGCGATCTCAAAGTGGTATAAGCGTTTCGATTCTGGTGACATGAGTCTTGAAGATAAGCCTCGTTCGGGACGGCCGTTAAAGTTGGATGATGGAGACTTGCAAACCAGATTGGACATTGCGCCTTCATCGAGCACTTGAGAATTGGCTGATGAGCTTGGAGCTGGCAAATTGACAATTCACCGACACTTGAAGCAACTTGATTTTGTTCACAAAAAGCCGCGCCAAGATCCGCACGAACTCACCGAAGCACAAGTCAACAGACGAGTTGAAATTTGCCGTCAATTGCTCAGCAATCCATTGGATGAGTGTCTTTGGAAGCGCATTGTGACATCGGACAAGAAATGGGTCTATCTGGTCCAGCACAATCGAGACAAGCAATAGGTTCAGAAAGGGCAAGAGACACCGTCGGTTCCAAAACAAGATCGATTTGGCAAGAAAGTCATATTGTGCATTTGGTGGAACTTTGAAGGAATCGTGCATTTTGAGTTGGTTCCGAATGGTCGTGCCATCAGTGCTGAACTTTACTGTCAGCAACTGGAGTGGGTCTACGAAAAGTTGAAGCAAAAGTACCCGGCTCTGATCAACCGAAAGCGCGCTTTGATGCAGCAGGACAATGCCAAGCCACACACCGCCAGGAAGACCTAAGACAAGTTTGAAGAGCTGGACAGCGTTGAGGTTCTGCCGCATCCAGCCTACAGTCCTGACTGTGTTCCATCAGATTACGGTCTTTTCCGCTCAATGCAACACTTTCTGAAGGGCTGCCGATTCGACTCGTTTGATGAAGTCGAGGATGCGTGTCAAGAATTCTTTGATTCGAAGTTGGCTGAATGGTACTTTCACCAGATCCGAAAGCTTGCAGATTGATGGCAGAAAGTCTTAATAATGGTCTTTATTTTGAGGAATAATTTGTTGTTTTTGTTATTACTTGGTGAGTAAAATTTCAATTTTTTGCAAGTGTTTACAAACTTTTGGGACAACCTAATAATACTATCAGTCAGATTTAATCTTTGTTTTTATTTCCCTGTGATTGTTTTCAATAATTTTACAACAGTCACATTGACACTTTGGTTACTTTGTTCATCTAAACTGTGATAATTTTATAACCCCCAACTACCTCTTAACTTAAACTACTATAGCATTTATTTTATGGCTTCTCAAGACACATACAAGAGCAGTATGTTTTATCACAACTTCAGGAAAGATCTTGATTCTGTGAGGGAAGCAGCATGTATTTTGCAATAGGCTATTAATTGAACATTAGTTAAAATATTGAGCTTTCAGTAAAATAATTCAAAAACTTGTTTAGATTTTAACAGGAATAAAGATAACTAAGTTTTTTAAACATTTGGAATATGATTCTCTTATGCATTAAATATCCTAATTAAAAAAATTAATATATCAATCTCTAACCCATGCTTTTAAAAAAAGTAAAGGGTAAATAAGTACACACTTTGAAATAATCCTTCATTTTCTTATCACCAATGAAGTGGATCATAATGGATTAGAAGTGAACTAAGTGACCCTGAAAGAACAAGATTAACTAAAGAGGTTAGAAACATCTGCTGTGAACTGAGTATAAGTTGTTTTTATTCATAACATAAGAGTTAGTAAAAATTAGTCTATTCTTACATACAAAGATTATCAAATATAATAATGAACAGTTATTTTTTTTTGTTTCTCAGTTCATAACTTGCCTCATAAAGCAAACTAAGAATTATCAGTACACCAGAATTCTGCTGCTTGAACTGCACAATTAACTTGCAAAAGTTAAGCATAATATACAAATATGACACTGATACTAGGCAGAAATATCAATCCATACATCTATTTCTGACATACTAAAGCAAAAATTGAATTATGTACAAATTTTTTTTTTTAGATATTTAAAAGATAAACATGAAACAAACAAATAAAAAAAAATAAAAAAAAAAAAACGGTCTTCAGTAATGTGATATCCTGCTATTATAGTAACACAAAGCATGTTCATTTTCAGGTTTTGGAAAATAGATAAAGATTCCACCAGCTGCAAATGCTTAATGAAATCCTTGCATTTGCTGACTAACTTTTGAAAATACTGAAAATAAGAGGTTTCATATTTATGAAATATGCTCCAATCTCAGTTCCATATGTAAATCCAATCACTAAATTGAGATCTATCAAAATACTACTGTCAACAAATAATGTTCCCACCAATTTTGTGTTCCACAAGATTTTGTGTCCAGTAAGTACAAGAGTCCATGGTTATTTAGTGATTTTTGTTGTCCTGGAAATTTTAAATAAATTTAAGTATACTAACATTAAATACATTTTACTTTAATTACATCAGTACCTTTTTTTAATACATGTTCTTCAGTGGTGGAGGATCAATAATGGACTGGTGGATTACAGTACTGACAGATGAGGAGTGCACAATACTTACCGTACTCCAAACACTGGCAACCCATACTATGTGAGTGATTAAAGAACTGTATTTTCCCTTTATGTAATATATGGCAAGGTGTTAATTGACAATATTAAGAAAACTAAGGAGGCAGCTTAAAATCTTAAGTCTTTTAGGAAGCTAACAAATTTTTATTGCAAGAAAAGAAAAGCAATAATTTCGATAAATTAATTGCAACAATTATATACTAAATCTGGTTCTTTTGTGTTTTCCTGTTCAACATTGCTCACGAATAAGGTAATATGGCATATTTTAGTAGCAATTAATATATATATATATATATATATATATATATATATATATATATATATGCCTTTAAAAATTAATATTATGTATTTAATTTTAATATATAAATATTTGAGCCTCTGAAAATATCTGACTTAAGTTTGACTCTTTATGACATTGACCTATGAAAATAATTCAACGCTATTCCAAAATAAGCTGACCAATTTAATCTCTGAGTAGGGCTTTGTCATGAAGCGGCAGCGGAACACATGATTAACTTACCTGATATATGGTAGATAAGGTGTGACATGTTTTTGTGATACAGCAATTATGTATGTTGTGATGAAGGTGAGGAGAGATAGAACCACTAAAGACAATGGAAAAATTTCTAAGCCCATCAAAAGCATCTGAAACAAAAGGAAAAGATTCTGTCATTAATTACACAATAGCAGAAACAAGAGAAGACAAAAAAATACTTCCTTCATTCTGTATTCTAAGAAATAACAGAGAAACCATTAGAGATTTGGCCATAAGCAGAATTTAGTTTATTATTCATATGCAGTGTTACTCACATTCAGCCATCAGAATTTACATGGAACAACTCGATGGCATACTAGACACATCAATTCAATAATCCCATTAAAGACATTTATTTCAATGATTTTTCTATAAAAAGCAAAAAAAAAAAAAAAAAAAAAAAAAAGGAAAAGTTAATTAAACTACAGATCCTTATTTTTTTATTATAATTTATCAATGTGAAGTTTTAATACAGCATAGTAACTTATTTCATTCAGTTTAGTTGTAAGCCACTCACTTTTTTCAGATATCTATATCTTTTAACCATTAAAAGTTTTCAAAGTAAAAAAAGCAGAAACTAAAATGCTTTTTTTTTTTTTTTTTTAATCATTTCACCCCAAGCAAGGCAGTAATGCCACTAGAACGCAAGGGAGTTACAGGAAGTGAAAGAGAATGAGAAGACCGAGAATGGGGAGGATTGAGGAAAGGACAAAAAAAAAAAAAATAAAAAAAAAAATAAATAAAAGGAACAAGAAAACAGAAAATAGCAATTGACGTATTTGAATTTTTGAAGATTGTAGTTATCAGGGAAGCAAGAAATCAGAACAAAGTTTCACAGGTGGGAAGTGTGAGAAAAGAAATTGCTAGAGTAGAAGTGGTCTAGCTATTTCAACAGTAAAATGGTGGAAACTCATTGCTAATCTAGTAGCACACTTAAATTCATGTAGTTGGACACCAGGAAAAAAAAAAGCTTGTCAGAGCAGTTGCCATAAAAATATTTGTAGAAAAGACAGAGGAAAGCCACACCATGTCAGTGAGAAGGTGACTGAAGTTGAGATACTTGGTCACAATCAATTACATTATAAACCCTTCTTTGGATTTTGTTAAGAATCTAGAGATGTACAGCTATAGCACAAGACCAGATATGACAACAGTATTCAATGCACAGATGAATGGTAGATTTATAAATGTGTAAGATGGATTTTGACAAAGATTTTCTGGCACGACAGTAAACCAACTATTAACCGTGAATGAACATTACATAATATGAACATGCAAGTTGTTTCAGATTGGTCCAAATAAGCATTAAAATTAAATTAATTTGAATTTTAAATATGCATTATACTCTTTCAAGCTAAACTTTAAAAATACAAGGAAAGATAATCATCTATACATTTCTTTTAGTTTAGAAAATTGCAAAGATTTTATATGATTATACCATGTAGTGATGAATTATTTCTCTGTATCTATAAACCTCCACATGCTGTGACCCTTCTGAACTTCCTGTTCTTTGAAACTTAATAGATTGTATTTTTGCCATCTCTTCCAAACCCTTCTCCGCTATCCGTTCAACTCAAGCTCACCAGGTAGGTTATGCATTGTTTTCCTATATCCCTCTTGCCTTTGATCGATCCTGTTAGTACAAAGTCTTATTATATGACCTAGAAATCTCTCTTCCTGGTATTAAGTATGTGTCCTTTTTATTTCAATTGTCTCTTGAATGTCATTGTTGCTTACATGTTCAGTCAGCAGCATTCTCAGCATCCTTCTGTAGAACTACATTTCTCTTGCTTCAAGACTGTGAGGAGATTGTCCAGGATTTACTGTCATATAGGACTGATATTGCATAACTGTTCAGTACTTTCTTTGTTTCTAAGGAAATTTTTCTGTTTTTTAATACTTTGCTTAGCTTATGGGAGGCACCTTTCACCATCCCATTTCTAACAGCTAGAAAACAATGTGCCTTCAGATTTCAGTGTTGCACATTCTGTCCTCTATTAAAATGCTTCCCAGATATTTAAATTATTGTACTTGTTTGATTTTGGTATTTAAAATTTGTAATTTTCATATTGAGCTGTTCCTTTTGCTAATAAACATGTATTTTGTATTCATACAATTGATGTTTAGTCCTTTCTTCTTGCTTTCCTTCACTATCTTCTGTAGGAGTTCTTGCAGTTTCCTTTCTGTATCTGCCATCAGCACTGTGTCATCTAAACCCTTACACTAAATAAAAGTATAAAACCTGTAACACACAAAAGTAATTAAAGTTGTAAGCACTAGAATTATTTGTATACTTGGAATACAAGACATTTTCTAACAGCTAGAAAACAATTTTCTTGGCATCAAATAAATAAATGTCTGCTATGACATAATAGTTCTATTGTTTTCAAACTTTAAACCTGTTATTTTTCAGACAAAAATTGATATGCATTTAAATTAACCTGGATTGCATGCCTAACAAGGTAGTAAACTACCAAATAAGTTGTTAATATTGTCTATTACTAATCTTTAAGAACTTGAGAAATAAGGGAAGAAGATAGTTTCAGATAAAAAAATAAAAAAAAATCATACGCACAAGCTGTCTTGTGATTTTCAAGAAAAATAAACTTTTATTAAAAACAGTCTATTATATGTAGGACTTACACTAGTAATTTGTTAGTATTAGTTTTTATGAGAAAAATTTTTCCTAGTTACTGAGAAAAGGTATGAAATAATCATGACTTTAGAGATAAAAAAAAACAGTTACAAATATTTAGAAATCAAATTGATTTAAAAAAAAAAAAAATTTTAAGTGGAAGCATTTGAAATTTAGTGACCTATACAATTTTTTAAATTTATACCTTTTTTTAACATACCTCATTATCAATAATAATGCAAAAAAGATTAGAAACCTGACAATACAAAGATTAAAGTTCTTAATTATATTTGCATGATGTACATTCTAAGAATAGATAACAATTGTTCTTTCTTCAAAATGTGTAAATATTCAGAAAGATATTAATTTAAAATTATAAGGTTATATAAGGCACTGAGACAAGGGGAAGATAGATAAACAGTTAAATATAGCAATAAGCTAATGATTATCTTTAGAAAAAAATATTTATTTGATGGTTTACAGAAAATTGTTACATTAAAACGTTCAGGAGGTAAAGTACACAATCTATTAATTACAACCAGATTTAAGTTTCTTAAAAATACAAACCTAACAAGGAATTTAAAAATAACAAAAAAGATTTATCATAAGAATTACAATAGCACACAAAAGTATTGGACACATCAGATTTAAGAAAATCCAAATTTCTATTACTGCTAGTAACCTAAAACTTCTCAGTTTGTCATATTTGGAACTTGCTAAACCACTCAGAAGATTATTGTATAGCCAATCATTCCAGCCCCAAATGCCTGTTTAATTTAGCACATCAATTTGACTGAACCAACTTTAAAATGATACAAACAGCTCTCAATTTATTTTAAATACAAGTGAAATATGATTGTGAAAAAGAGATTACTAACATTCTATGCCTAGGAGTTTGTAAAAATAAATTAAAAAAATATTTGGGAACTCTTATGAACTTAATATTCATAGGATAATTTCTAAATCTAGCTGTATCAGAAAAAAAATATTCCTGGATTTGACTATTAAAAAAAAACAAAAAAAAACTTACAGTCACAAGGTGCATCTGTAAACCTTTAACCTGTACCTTCCTTCACAATCTCACCTAAGATAATGTAATGCTTTCAGTATTAGGTAAAGAGACATCCCTCTCTGAATATTTACAAATCTTACATTAAATAAAACCCAATTATATTCTCCAAGTTGATGAATTTTTAGTTTATTATGGATTTTCAAAGGTATGCTTTGTAGACAATTAAATCTTATAAATTTACGCTTTTGCAGCTCAATACAAATACAAAATGCTGTTCAAAAGGGGTTAACAATTACAGATATTCAACTACTATTGGTCTGTACAAAGAGATTTTGTTATTGTAGTAAGCATTAAAAGCATCTGGTTTTGACTAACTTCATTCAAAAAGATAACATATTGTGACAGCTGTCATCAGCTTACATCTTTAATTTTGTTAAAATTGTTATATTTTTGTTTATTGAAATTTTGTTATTATGAAATTTTTAGCATTGTTATATTAAAAAAACAAAAAAAAAATAGTTTATGGAAATGATCTCTGTACAGATTGCTCACTAAACTTAAACCATGATTGAAAAATCAAGACATTACTTCAGAATAAACATACAATGCAGAAGATAACACAATAAAATTACACAAATTACACAACCTTGGTTATGTTAGTCGTTTTAATGTGTAGCTTCCACATTAAATGGAAAGAAAGAAAAAATAGCAGTCAATTTCCTGGAAAAGGCACCAAATGCAGTTATTTACCGAGAAAGATAAAAGTTCTTACAGGATGGAATTATAGTTACATAAAAGATGAGAACAAAATTATTTGTTCTGTAAGAAAATTTTTTTTTTTTAGTTAATCCAAACAAAATTTCATTTACTCAATATACAGAAACTTTTGCAAGACAAGCTTAGTTAAAGAAATTTAAACATAATTGCCTTTCATTTGTTTAAAACCTTTATTCAAAGTATAAAAATGAACTCTTTAAAAAGATATTTTTACACTTCAAATTACTTTATTTTCCTCACAAATTTCCATTTAAATAATATTTTCCTAAAAATCTTAATCTTTTCCTCTAAAGAACTGTTCAGATATACTAGAAAACATTAGAAAAGTTCAAAAGTCATTAAATTTTTAAAATTAGATAACTCAAACATTTTTTCACATTGGTATAATTCTTTGTTACAGTAGACAATTTACTGTCCCAAATTTTCAAGTTTGTATATTATTCAAATAAACAGTAGTTTTGAAAAATTCCAATTCAACATGTTTTATCTTTTCTTAGCCAAATGGAAATAACTCATTTTGATGATTTTATTGTTTAGCATAAACCAAACTTAAACCTGTTTAGAAATATTGATCAATAACAATTCATGCCTTGAGACATGCATACATTTCCAAAATCTGTCCAGATAAATTTTAACTTACCAAAACCAAAGTTTAAGAACTACTAGATTATTTATATTCCAAAAAT